GAATAGTTATAGTAAAATGGTTGCATGCGAAAAACATTTTGTGAGCCAACCAAAAGTTATCATTTTGGTGGCCCGCCGTTGAGTTACGTAGCTGTGTAGGGTTGTACTCTCCTTTCTTCCTTTATTGGTCCTCTTGCAAGTCATGTGGCCATGTTTTTTCTTCATTAATTTATTTTGGAACATTAAAATCTTCTCCGCTAGATTTTGTATCTAATGATTGATAGGCCCATACCCAAAATTAATTAAACTAAGGAGCGCTAAGATGAGATGGCTTGAGTCTCTTTCAGTTTAACCAATGGTCTCGTGTTCGAGTCCTGGGAATGCAGCAGTGTTAAAACTCTTGAGGGGGAGCTTTCTCGCCCTTGTGGTCTTACCCAACTCGATTCCGGATTAATCGATTCCCCTATAGATCCAAAAACCGAAAGGTCTCTGTACCAAAAAAAATGTTAATTAATTTTGAGCTTGCAAGAATTTTTTTTTTTATTATAAAATATTCAATAATTTCATTTAAATAAATAAATTTAAATAATTAAGAAAGAAAATTAAAGTAACTTGTGACACAGACGACGTAGGTTAATATACGGAATAATTTTATGAAATATCGTGACCGACCATATATATTATCCAAATTCAATCTGTAGCATAAATCACAAAATCAATATATTGTTCTAGAACTTGAAGAAAATCTAAGAACAGATGCATAAATCACAAGCCACTCACATTTTCATATATAAACATACATATATCAAATACTAAAATTTCAATTTAAGTCCAAACAATCAAAATTTTTGAAATATTGTAATTTAGTAGTTTGTTATACATTCAGAATGAAATATATTTAAATAATGTTTCCAATATTTTAGATACACGATGTTTATATTAAATAAGGCATAAATTAGAAAAAGAAATACATGTGAATTCATAAGGTTAGATTATAGATTTAACATCTTTCCTCAACTTGGTAAGAGAAGAATAAGAATTTATTTATGAAAGGTTAGATTATATATTTAACTTCTGATCCCTATCAAATTTGCATTATTGAAGCTTTGCATGTGGCACAAGATATGATCTGATCCAATTTGGAAACTGTTCATATTACAAAACATTTGAAGTGATGATAAGTTTTTCCGTACTTTCATCGACAAATCCAACGTACTTTTAAGTTCTAATCGAACACTCATTAACGTATTTTCATTTTCAAACATGAAAATGAGACTGAAACCGCAGGGAATAAGAAAAATCGATAAGTTCCTCCTTCAAAAATCATAGCTCTGTTGATGAGTTGATAACGTAACCGATAAAGTATAAGTAAAACAATATAGTCAAGACTTTTTCGCAGAGATGGTGTTCGCGAAGTACTTGATCAGAGGATAATCAAGTTTTAACATGATGTGAATGTTTTCGTAAGATATATAATAGTAGGTACAATAATGGACAGGTCACATATCCAAACATGATGGAATTTTTCGAGAGCCTTGGAGT